CTGTCTGATGCAACAAACATCAGCCTGACAGAGGCATATATTCATATGCAGGCACGATTTTTATGTGTATTTTTCCAGTTAGGCATCTAAGTTTTATTGGGTTTAAGAGCCACAATTTGCAAAGATGAGAAGATGGCATGATTTCCAAGAAATCATTAGAAATAATTAATAATCAGCCGTACCTGAGAATGAGTATTAACATGCAGCTCTTCTGAATTTAACACCACAAAACCAAAGTGACTTGTAGAGCAAGGAGTTTCATTTATCATTATCACCTGGCACTCAGTCAGAGGTTTGAAGAACCAGTGCTAGTGTTTCAGTTTTTATTTTTCCTCTAAGTATTCCATGCATGTCGTTGGTATCAATGGATTGTTGTAAGCTGCAAGATGTTTGATAAAAAAGACAGATTTTACAAGCAAAGACTCCAGTTACATGTATAAAGGGTTATATAGTTTTTTCCCTTAATTCAGAGTCCCAAATATTTGTTTTACAAACTGCAGCTTGCCCTCAAATGTCTTGAATTCATTGTGGAATCAGTATTTATTGTGTAATGCAGAGTCATATTTAAAAAAAAAAAAAGTTCTCACCAGGCTGGAGGGAAGAAAAAAAAAAAAAAAAAAAAAAAGTGATAAAGACACTGGCCTCCTCCTCCTCAAAAAATAATTAAAAAAATAAAATTAAAAAAAAAAGAAAAAAAAAAGGAAAAGGAAAATTCATCCTCGGTTTCGAGGCTGTTTTAGGCTGTTTTTTAAAGTAAACATGAGAAACATTGTCAGAAATATATTACATACTATATGCCACCATAATACAAACCATTTTTTTTTCACTCCTGCTGGTGTTTTCATGCTCTGAAAGGAAACTAGTGTTCCCACATGTGCGCACACTTAGGCACAGTGTATAGTCCACAGTATGTATGCGTACAGATACACACACACACACACACACACACCCGCCCCACAGGATGCACGCACACGGGATATACCCCAAATGCAGCAGTACCTCTGGCACGCTAGAGGGAGCCAGTACATAATTGCAATGACCCTTTTTTCCCCCCTCAATTAGAAGAACAGGCGTGGAAAAATCTCTGGACATCCTGAGATATCCTAAAGGTTTGGCACAAGCAGCAGAACAAGGAGAGGAAAGCAGAGGACTCCAGCTGCAGTCATCCGAGGCCTCCTGATAGCTCAGGGGCTTACGCTGGTGTTTGTTCCACTTTCAATACTATGCTGCCTTTATAGGGAACTTCTCCAAATACGTGACTTAGCCGGGCACGCCAAATTCCCTCAGCCAATCTGAAGCCCTCATGCAGAAAGCAAAGCCCATTTTGTAAACATATCCTTTATTTCATCTGTCCGTCGCTCTCACACAGAAAGTTGGCTCGGCTGAGAGTAGTGGTTTTCTGCTGCCACTAATGTATGCACAGTTTATTTATACACTGCATTTTAACACGGCATTAGTTCTATAACGGTTACCAGCAGACTCGCTCTGGATGGCAAACTATCTGTTTCACAGCTACAAAGAGGTCCTCAGGACGAGAAGATGGGTCTGGAAAGAACACTCATTTGAATTTATAAATCTGCAAGACTTTTTCCAAGTCATATTATATTTATGGACATAATAACTCAGGGCTGAAGGTTATTCTATTGAGCAAAGCAAACGAGCAGCTGCCTTAACTGGCTCTTAAGAGACACTCCTAAAATAATCAGGAGCGTCTTATAAGTGCTCCAGAGTTTATTTTCTTCCTGGCTTTTTTTTTTTTTTTTATTATTATTTTTTCCTCTTTTCCCCTAAATGATTCTTGCTACTTACACGCTCGTCACAAATGGCAGCTTCATTTCCGTACGCACGGGTCGAGACCGGCCCTCCAGCAATCCGAGCACGCACCTTTCCAGCCTCAGTCCTCCCCCCGCCACCGCGGCCCCCGGCCGGGAGCCTCCCTTGCGCGCCGAGGGCGGGGGCGGGCGCTGCTGCGGCCCCCGGCCCCTCACGGCGCGGCTGCCAGCACCCCGCTCCCCGCCGGCAGGGGATGCGCTCCCGCCCTCGGGAACTGCCCCTGGGGGACGGTGAGACCCGCTCGGGGCGGTTCCCGCAGGGCCGGGGCGGAGGTGGCGGGGGTGTCCCCCCACCCACACCCCCCTTCTCTCGCCGCGCATCCCCGGCCCGGCGGTCACTTGCGGGCCGGGCCGCGCCGCGCCGCGCAGTCAAGTCCTCGCCCTCGCAGTGCTTCGGGCGAGTTCGGGAGCGCCGCGTCCCCCCTGCTTCCCTACCCGTCAACGCGGAGGACTTGTTAACACGTCTTACAAATAAATAAATAAGGGCGGGGGTGCGGGGAGGCAGGGGTGACGAAGAGGCCGGGTGAGGAAGCGGCGGGGGCCGGGGTCGCGGCGCTGCGGTGCGCGAGCGGCCAGACACCGCAACCCGCGCGAGCCGCTCACGCGCCCCGCGTCCCCCTCGGAGCCGCTCTAATCAATGACACCCAGCGCCCGCCGCGGCCCCGCCCCCCGCGCGCCCGGCTGCCCGCCTCCTCCCATTGGCCGGGCCGCGCCGGGGCCGGCCGGCGCCGCCGCCGCCCATTGGCTGGCGGGGAATCCGTATCAATGTTTAAGCCGCGGCGTGAGGTGAATAGAGGCAGTCGGAGAGCGGCGCTGGGCGAGCGCGGCGCGGCGCGGCGGCCCCGCGAGTGCTGCAGTGAGGGAGGCGAGGCTCGGGGAGAGAGAGGGAGAGAGCGAGAGCGAGGCAGAGCGCGGCTCCAACTGTTGAATTTTCACTGAATTCTCCACTTACCTGCGGGCGGCTGGTGAAATGGATCTGGTTTATCGGGGATCGGCGTTCACTCCGCGTGCTGCCTGGCTAAGACTAGCGACCGTCTGTTTGCAAGGGGCCACCCATCAATGAGGCAGAGAAGAATAATTGTTTTTTCTTCTTTTGCGTTTGAAAGCCTCCCTACCACACGTTGCAGAATTAACTGTGTACTTTGGGTCCGGACTCAAATAAAGGAGAAAAAACAGTGCAGAACTGAGACTCGGAACTAGATCTGTGAGCTATGTATTGGAAACCTATGTTTTTATTGCTTTTTTTTTTCTTTTAATGTGAAAGATCTCTGATTTATTTAACATATAACACTGAGGAAAGGTGGTTAAAAACACTCAGCAAAGCAGGAGACAGACGCGCCTCTGTGCCAGTGAGTGGATAACAGCCTTGTTTTCCTGATCCTCAGTCTCCCGGAGAAAGAGGTATAGTAAAAGTGTAGCTGGATCCGACACCCCCACCTTCTCCTTTTTTTCTTTTTTTTTTTTTTTTCCTTCTTTCTTCCCTCCTCCCTCTCCAAAATATAAATCTGATTAATTTCTTTCCTGTCTATAGAGTGAGTCAGAGAAGCGTTAGGAAGAAGCTGCAACTGATGTCTGTGAAGGGAGGAACATGAGGCGATAGTGAATGTGATTTGTTCCGCTGGATCTGACTCATCCAAGCAGATTGAAACACCTGCATTTCTGGATTTGCCATTCATTTATTTCAGGTTGTTAAAAGAACCTGAAATAATATTTTGCTACCCTTCCCCAGTATTTACCTATACACCGTATCACTAGGAAAGGTGTGTAACAGAGAGGGGGGACGCATCTGTCATTGCTGCCGCTCTTCTCCCCTGTACCAAGATGCTCAGAGAGACTATTAAGGCTTTGAAGGGACTGAAAAAATGCATCACACTGATCGCGGAACTGCATAGGTTTTAATATAAGCGAATTAATCGATTAAAAGATCTCCCACTTTATTCATCGCCAGGATTGTTTTTCCTCCTCTTCTCACCTCCCCTAAATGAAGAGGGCTAAGCGGCAGTGTCATTGGAAGGAGACGCTGAATAGAAAGAAAAGAGAGGCACTTGATAGCGCAGCCCTGTGAATACAGAGACTGTTTCCCTTTTAGCGAGAGACTGAGAGAGAGAGAGAGTGTGTGTGTGTGTGTGTGGTGGCTTTTCTTTCTCCCCCCGCCCTCCCACCTCCTCTCTTGCTTTTTTTTTTTTTTTTTTTTTTTTTAAATCTATGAGTCCAGCTATGGGTTGCCTGTTGCTTTCCTCTCGGCTGGAGAGAAAAGCAAACTGGAATTAAACTGCATCGAGAAAAGTGCAGCTCCACAGACACGCATACGCACACACGCATAGATACACTGAGAGAAAGGATGTGGTGGTGGCGGCGGCTACTGGCCTGTCTTAAAGAAACCCAAGTGTGCTGCTGATTGAGCACGGTCTGAGCTTTCTCTCAAAATATATATTTACTGCTAGTGATGGAGGTGAACTGGTGGGTTTCTTAATTTTTTCACCCCAAAAGGACGGGTGGGAGGCTGGTAGTAGAGGGGGAGAAAGGAAGCTGTAAATCGGAACACTAGTTTTTGCGGGCGGGGGCGGAGTGGTTTGGGTTTTGGGCTTTTTTTTTTTTTTTTTTTTTTTTTTTTTTAAATGTGTTTTGTTTTCCCCTCTCGCCCTGCAATCCTTATTCCCTCTCCCTCTGGTTCGGGAAGGAAACAGTGACCCAGGGTGTACGAGACAGAGAGGGGGGAAATACCGACGGCAGCGAGATGCAGCTCTCCGCCGCAAGCAATGCAAGATTAGATCTCTAAATGCAGCAAAACACTCCCTGAAAACCAACAACCCCGCGGTGCAATCAGACATTTCACTGCCGCTCACTGCACACGAAGAGGGCTTCAACAACAAGCTGAGACTTTTTTTCCCTTCTGTCTCTCTCCTACCCCTCCACTCCATCAATTGCATCACAAGCAATGAGTAGCAAATAAGCATTTTTTACCTCTGCTACAGACCTATGACCATCCCCTTCTTCTATGTATATATAAATATACATATTTAAAAATATTTCGGATCGTTTTTAGAAGAACAACCACTGCCGCCGGTTTTTTAATTATTGTTTTTTTTAATTATTATTATTATTTGTACATCTGCGGGGATTCAAGGATCGGGAACACATCGCTTGGCCGAAGGAGAAGATCTTTTGCAAATTTTCTGATTTTTGAAACCCTCCCACTGCCGAAGTTGGGCAGACGAAGTAACTGCGAGGGGACTGCAAGCCCGGCAAGCTCTTGCTGAAAAGCTGCCGAAGCTGCTCCCACCCCTCCCCCCGACCCCCCCGATTGCTCCCTCCCTCTGAGCTACATGGTCTATTTGCTGCCTCTCATCCTGTGTCTCTGCAGATGTTTTAGAGCAACAGGTTCAGGAACTTGAAATATAGGGGTGGGGAAAGAGAAGGGAAAAAAAAATCAAAACCAAAAAGGAAGGAAAGAAAGAGCCGTCAGCGGAGGAAGAACAACCCCAGCGCAAGAGGCAAAGAAGACGGGGACTGCCCTGGTCGTCGCTGCTGCTCCTGCCGCCCCCACCCCTGCTCGGGGATGTACCTTTCCATTTGTTGCTTCTTCTTCTGCTGGGCTCCCGCCCTGTCGCTGAAGAACCTGAATTACTCGGTGCCGGAGGAGCAGGGAGCGGGCACGGTCATCGGGAACATCGGGCGCGATGCGCGGCTGGCGGCAGGCGCGGCGGGAGGCGGGATGCTGCCCGCGGAGCGTGGCGTTCCCGGTGGCGGCCCCGGGGGCGGCCGCGGCCCCAAGTCCACCTTCCGGGTGCTGGAGAATTCAGCCCCGCACCTCCTGGACGTGGACGGGGAGAGCGGGCTGCTCTACACCAAGCAGCGCATTGACCGTGAGGCGCTGTGCCGGCGCAGCGCCAAGTGCCAGCTCTCCCTCGAGGTGTTCGCCAATGACCAGGAGATCTGCATGATCAAAGTGGAGATTCAGGACCTGAACGACAATGCACCATCATTCCCCTCTGACCAAGTGGACATGGACATCTCTGAAAATGCTGCACCAGGCACCCGCTTCCCCCTCACCAGCGCCCACGACCCAGACGCTGGGGACAACGGTCTGCGCACCTACCTGCTCACTCGTGATGACTACGGCCTCTTCTCCCTCGATGTGAAGTCCCGTGGTGATGGCACAAAGTTTCCGGAGCTGGTCATCCAGAAGCCATTAGACCGTGAGGAGCAGAGTCACCACACCCTGGTGCTGACGGCACTGGATGGTGGTGACCCACCACGCTCAGGCACGGTGCAGATCAATGTGCGCCTCATTGACTCCAATGACAACAGCCCCATCTTTGAGGCAGCCTCCTACGTGGTAGAGCTGCCAGAGAACGCACCGCTAGGCACAGCAGTCATTGACCTCAATGCCACTGATGCCGATGAGGGTACCAATGGAGAGGTGCTCTACTCCTTCAGTGGCTACGCACCTGAGCGTGTCCGTGACCTGTTTAGCATTGACCCACAGAGCGGCCTCATCCGTGTCAAAGGCAACCTGGACTATGAGGAGAGTGGCCTCATTGAGATTGATGTCCAAGCTCGGGACTTGGGGCCAAATCCCATCCCTGCTCACTGTAAGGTCACTGTCCGCCTCATCGACCGCAATGACAATGCTCCCACCATTGGCTTTGTCTCCGTTCGCCAGGGAGCTCTGAGTGAGGCTGCCCCACCAGGAACTGTCATTGCCCTGGTGCGGGTCACTGACCGTGACTCAGGCAAGAACGGGCAGCTCCAGTGTCGGGTGCTGGGTGGTGGTGGCGGGCCCGGTGCCATTCCTTTCACCCTGGAGGAGAACTATGACAACTTCTACACTGTGGTCACGGACCGACCCCTGGACCGTGAGACGCAGGACGAGTACAATGTGACCATCGTGGCACGTGATGGGGGCAATCCCCCACTTAACTCCACCAAGTCATTTTCTGTCCGGATCCTTGATGAGAATGACAACCCACCCCGCTTCAGCAAGAATCTTTATGTGTTGCAGGTGCCTGAGAACAACATCCCTGGAGAGTACCTGGGTTCAGTCTTGGCCCAGGATCCTGACTTGGGCCAAAATGGGACAGTGTCTTACTCCATTCTGCCTGGGCATGTGGGAGATGTCTCCATCTACACCTATGTCTCTGTCAACCCCACAAATGGTGCTATTTATGCTCTGAGGAGCTTCAATTATGAGCAGACAAAGCACTTTGAGTTCCGCGTGCTGGCCAAAGATTCGGGTTCACCCCACCGTGAAAGCAATGCCACAGTGCGCGTCACCGTGCTCGATGTCAACGATAACGCACCCCTCATCGTCCTGCCTGCCCTCATCAATGACACTGCTGAGCTGCAGGTGCCACGCAATGCTGGGGTGGGCTACCCCGTGGGCACCGTCCGTGCCCTGGACAGTGACTTTGGGGAGAGTGGGCGCCTCACGTATGAGATTGTGGAAGGTAATGAGGAGCACCTCTTTGAAATGGACCCCACCAGTGGTGAGATACGCACCTTGCACCCCTACTGGGAAGAGCTCAGCCCTGTGGCTGAACTGGTGGTAAAAGTCAGTGACCATGGCAAACCCAGCCTCTCCGCTGTGGCCAAGCTCATAGTCAGGGCTTTGGCGGGGCCCCTGCCCGAGGCTGGCGAGCCACAGGTGAATGGCGAGCAGCATCGGCGGCCACACTGGGACTTGTCGCTGCCGCTGATTGTGACACTGAGCACTGTCTCCATCATCTTGCTGGCTGCCATGATCACTATTGCTGTGAAGTGCAAGCGAGAGAACAAGGAGATCCGCACCTATAATTGTCGCATTGCCGAGTATAGCCACCCTCAGCTGGGAGGAGGGGGAGGCAGTGGCGGGGGAGGAGGAGGCAGTGGCAGTGGAGGGGGCAAGGGCAAGAAGAAGAAGATCAGCAAGAATGACATTATGCTGGTGCCCAGTGAGGGCGAGGACAGCCGGGGTCCCCTCAATGTCATGAACGTGGTGAGCAGCCCATCCCTGGCCACCTCACCCATGTACTTTGACTACCAGACCCGCCTGCCCCTCAGCTCTCCCAGGTCTGAGGTGATGTACCTGAAGCCCGCCTCCAACAACCTGACTGTACCCCAGGGACATGTGGGCTGCCACACCAGCTTCACAGGGCAAGGGACTAACGCCAGCGAGGCTCCCCCGAGCCGGATGTCCATAATTCAGGTAGGAGACTTTTAGAATACCCTGGAGCTCACTTTGGACACTGGTTTAACTTTCCCTTTTGTCTGCAGTGCAATCTGCTGTAAGGCACCACTGTAGGAACCAACACAAGTCACTAAAGAGAGGTGGACTTAATGAAAGTGGAACCAGACAACATCTGGTGGGTCTGGTTCTGCTGTCTCATTGATGTTTCCAATGTACCTCAAAAGAAAATGCCCACTGAAACACAGACAGGGTTACGGCAGTGCCAAAGAGGTGCATGTGAGAGTGTGGGCAGGCATTTAACTCATTTGAGGCATGCTGGGGTATTTTCTCAGGAGACTGTCGCAGAGGTGGGCACTTCCACAGGTTTCACTTCTCTTTGGTTTGGGGTGGAGAAGAGGGAGGGCATTTCTAAAGTGGACTTACCACCTGCAGTAACTAACAGGACAGGGAAGAAATTGCACACTGAGGACATCTATTGCAACAGTGTATTATAGCCCTCCAATCTTGTATGTAAACATGAGCTATCCTTCCAAGATGCATGTTTATTTTTTTTTTTAATTTCCTTCTTCAGAATATATATCCATAAATATATTTTTTGACAGTATCATTGGGGCCCCATTGCCTCCTCCTCCTCTCCCCATAAACAACTAATTTTTCAGTGCTGAAAATTCTGCTTAGTCAAATAGAAAAAAAATGTATGTGGTGACTCCCTCCTACCTCCAAATGTTAACAAAACTCACATCCTCTCATAAGCCAGCAAAACAACTAGTCAGATTTCCAGTAGCCTGAGTCAACATTGGTGATTGCTTTATAGTGAAAGACTTACATGCTCTGTCTTCTACCAAAGCTCATTTAGAAATTGTAGCTGGGCTGCATTCTGCTGCCAGTATCCACACTGTCCTCTACTGACTTTTGTGAATGTGAGAAATGGCAGAATTTGGACTATTGGATATAAGATACTAATCAAAGAATGACTTAATTTTTAGCAGGTAGTTTAAAGTCCAAACTCATAAGATTTATTTCAGAGCAGTGAACTTGCAGAGTGAAGGTGAGGGCAGAAATTGGCTCCAGTTGATTTAATTTAAAGTATTGCTTCATGATTAATGCAGCTTAATGTTCAAACACTACAGGTATGTTCCAAAGTGATTTTTAACGTTCGGATTGAAAGCAGGCTCTGGATAATGACTATTAAATATATTTGAAATGTCATATCTGTTTTATCTGGTGGTTCTCCTGATATGCTGTTCTGAGTCATAGGGGGATGAGCTGAGTGTATCAGAAGTGACACAGACTCATTTTGTGTATGCAGCTAGTAGGAAAGAAGTTGCACTGTAGTCACTTGATGTATCTAAAGAAGATTCATAATACCTTGGAGTTACCATGCCCTGTGATCTGTGAACATCAAATGCTCTACTTGCCAGCTGTATCTGATGTTTTAAACTGAATAGAAATGGCCAGTGATAATTGACTGATTAAAGGACCAAAATTCAAGTAATCGATGAACTGGAAATTGAACATTTATAACTGGGGAAAAAAAAAAAAAAAGGGAAAAAAGAAAAAAAAAAAAAAACCCTGCCTGTACAAGGTCACTGTAAACTAATTCTCAAGCCACTATTGACTTGTGTCACAGAAACAATTTCATTTTATGCCTATCATGAATTTGTGTTGCTATCAATTAGGTGAGTGGAGCAATACTTAAAATCTGAAATTGATTTTAACAAAAAGTGACACTTTAGGAAAGAGTTTAGGTTAGGGCACAACCAGAGATAATTTGATTTATTACTCATGCTTTAAAAAACAAATAACTTTCCATGACACTTGTTTAAGTAATGTCAACATTTTTTTTACTGTAAAATGGAGTTGTCAGAAAGCTAAACAAAACACTCCATATTTTTTCCTACTGACAAGTGTAATAGTTACTAAAAGACAGAAAATTATACTTTCCTACAACCATGTAATGTCTATATAAAGCAATTAATTAATGTATTGATGCTACTGAATAGTAAAGTTTCACTTGTAGTGTAAAATCCCTATGGAAAATATGATTCCTTCTTTTTTACAGTGTTCACTGTATAAGATCAATCATGATTTTTTTTTTCCTGAAATCTATATAAAGCTAAAAGAGGAATTTCCTCCCTTAAAAAGTGTGTTGTGGTTTCTATAAGAGTTTTCATTATGACAACTATGGAAAATGTTAACTGAAACTCCTCATAACGTATACTCATATATCTAATGCTGGTCTTGTTTTCTCTGATTATCTGCACAGAGTGTTTTGGAGGTTTTCATGGTCCAGTTAGTAGATTAGAAAACATTCAGCTTTACCTAGTGTACAACCTGTTCAAACATACTTACTGATACTGTGTTTTGTAGTTGTATTGGTAAAAAAGACACAGTAAGAAAAAGTGTAGTTGGTTTCTATTTAGAAAAGGCTCAGATTTAAAGTAGCTAGAGGGGAAAATTGATCCTCTTCACTGTACTTCTGCATTACTAAAATACATTTTGTATTCTTCATCTCCATATCCCTGGAGTAAATTTTATATAAAATTTGCATTTAGAATGTAGGCACTACTTTATGTCTGGTCCTGTATTTCTTCCTCATGTAAAATTTAAACTGCAGACTTAAGGAGAAGTAGTAACGGATCATCTCTCTCTCTGGATCCACTATACCCTGAATCACTCCAAGAAACCTGTGTCTGCCCTACACAGTTAGGAATCAAAGGTGTAGGCAGTGGGGGAAAAAAAAAAAAAAAAAAAAGGAAACAAAATCCAGCTGCTTTATCATCTATTTTAGCTAATCAATCCAGTTAAGCAGTTTTCTTCAGTACCTCAGTAAGGGGAAGGTAAACAATTTTGTAAGGGTTGTCTAACAAATGTTTCCATTCATTTTTACAGATCTAGTTTTGAAACATGATAATCCCATACTATGTAATTCATACAATGGAACTGCATTTCTTCATTCTCATTTTCTCGGCAAATATTTAATGGCACAATTTTCTTTAAAGTGTTATATATACACATATATATATATGTGTATATATATACACTATATATATATGGAGATGTATATACATGCTAAATATTATATTATTACTTAGTACATCCAATTGATTCTATCAGTATTTAATAGCAAATAAATTATTTCTTTCTCAGTAAGATCCAACTTTTCTCACTTGTATTAGGAGGGCATATTTTTTTTTCCTTTCAATTACTAGTAAGACCTAGTGAATCCAATGGGCCTTATGTTCCCTTATTTCTAATAGTATTTTACTATAGAGATAGTCCAATTTATATCAACAAATACATGTGGAGTAAAGTGTTACTTAGTGACTAGGGGTTTGAGGCTGACCCAAAAGGACCAGCAGTTGAATGAAATACTTCCTGATATGGATAAGGGTGGTGTAATCTTGCCTCTCTTTAAGTGACTTCTGTTACACACTAATCACATAATTTGACATCTTGTGTGTTTGCTCATTGCTTTGTAGCATCCACCTATGTACCACAGTTGCATGTGTTACATATATATGAATCATTAACTTCTTCAGTACCACAAATATGGGATAATTTAAACATGCATACATACATATATGTATAAAATGTTGGATGGACAGATGAGAATGCTGTATACATTCAGCTCTTATTGGTAGGAGAGACTTGCAAGTTCTTAGGCCCTCTGAAAATTGATCATTTGTAATTTGATGTGCAACTGAGATTGATATGCATTAAGAACAGTGTTTGGTAACATACTGGGAAGTTACACATTTACACTTTACCAGCCCGTGTTTTATTGCTCTTAACTTCAGCAATCATTTTCTAAAGATAATTTAGAAACAGTGCTTTCAAGCAAAAGTCTGTTACAAATATTTAAATATGGGGCAGTGCTGTACAATTCTCATTGCCAGGGTCAAAATTCCATGTCACTTTTCAATCACTAAGAGCCAAACTATTAATTTTTTATTGAGAAGAAGGAAAGCAGGAGAAAATGGAAACTCAACATGGCTGAAAGAAGATTTCTGTTCACTCTAGACCTTAAAGAAAATTTGGTTCATCTCATTCTGGTGACCTACTCACCTGACTAAAAGAAACAGAATTTTGCTTTATTTTGAAGTGCAGACATCAGGGAAAAAAAAAAAAAAAAGAAAAAAAAAAGGCAAACATACGTATAGATGTATCTCTCCTACCAAAATTTTGAGTTAGTTAATTTGCCTTTCCCTGTGTGAACAAATCACACCTTCTTCTTTCAGATTTTCGATAAGTAAGAGTAGATGGATAAAGGAAAACAAATAGTTTCTTTACACAAGTGAGTTTCAGAAATAGGTACCTCGATGTGAAATATCAGTAGTGTAGAAAACTATCTGCAATATGCAAGAGCAGTGTTGATCATCCTAGAAATTATTTATGGCTGTACTTGTGGTGCAATTGGGGAGTTTTGTGAATGTATCAGGAATAAGGTGGGTGTGAATAAAAAAAGAGGTAGTCACCGTATTTGTTAAACAACAGCTAAAAATGAATGACTGTGCAGAAAGAATCTCTCAAGGTGGGAATCGCTGTATCTGCTGTACCAGGCACTCCCACAGCATTTCAAGATAAAGTACAGATCATTCTTAATACTTCAGGCACCTGATGTTTATGATGTGTCAATAGATTAATGTCAAGTCCCAGTACAGCTTCATCTCCAGATGTTTAGTAATACCTAAGAAGACAGAGTCTTCAAGGGAAATAAAAAACCCATGACCCCTATTAGTGCTGCTCTGTCTTTAAATATGCTATTTCATACTTTGAGAAACTTCTGCCCAGAAATTTCAAGATTACAAAAGGAAATCTGCAGCTGCTGCATATAAGGAGAAGAAGCTTTCATCAGTGAAGTTGCACTCATCCTCAGTGGTTTAAATTCCTACCTGAAAACAGAGGTATCTATATTCTTTTATATCTCCTATTTCAACAGAGGAGTATTAGTCTCTGTTCTCACTAGAACTAGTACAAGGTAACATTTTTCACCAAGGGGATACTAGAGCACTAAA